ATTTCTACTGGGAGCGAGCGAATTAGGATCATCACTTACACGTGTGCACCGACACATTTCGGTGTCACAGCTTGAAACTCGGGCGTGGGGGGGGGGAATGCCTCAAAAGGATTTGTAAAAATTAATTGATATGTTATAAAGTGCTGTCTTGGTGGAATGTTGCCAATATATAATGAATACATAAACAGCAGTCTTTTCTGCCATCCACAACACAAAACTACAATGACACCTCCGATTAGCATGGTTTGCTGCTGGATTTGTAAAAATTATTTGATATGGTATCAAGTGCTGTCTTGGTGGAATGTTGCCAGTATATAATGAATACATAAACAGCAGTTTTTTTCTGCCATCCACAACACAAAACTACAATGACACCTCCGATTAGCATGGTTTGCTGCTGGATTTGTAAAAATAATTTTACATGTTATCAAGTGCTGTCTTGGTGGAATGTTGCCAGTATATAATGAATACATAAACAGCAGTCTTTTCTGCCATCCACAACACAAAACTACAATGACACCTCCGATTAGCACGGTTTGCTGCACGCGGTGCGAAAGAAGTTCAACGACCATACGTAGCGTTTTGGTTCATCAGAATAGGGTCCTACTTGACCAATGTCGTTCCACCGTGACCTCACATTGATACGAAGGCCTTCGCAAACCATATGTCCGTTTTGGGGATTGTTTGGCCATACTTCGGTCAGTGTGGATTGGTGATGGGTAGGCCCAGGACCAGGACAAAAATCGCCGCTGAATATCAGCCATGGACGGGATTAGAATTCTGGTCGCCGGGCTCGTAGTGTAGCACACTAACCACCAGAGGTGGGACAAAGTCATTGTTATGCAAGTCCAAGTCGAGTCTGAAGTCATCAAATTCATGACTCGAGTCTGACTCGAGTCCAAGTCACATGACTCGAGTCCACACCTCAGAGGTGGGACAAAGTCATTGTTATGCAAGTCCAAGTCGAGTCTGAAGTCATCAAATTCATGACTCGAGTCTGACTCGAGTCCAAGTCACATGACTCGAGTCCACACCTCAGAGGTGGGACAAAGTCATTGTTATGCAAGTCCAAGTCGAGTCTGAAGTCATCAAATTCATGACTCGAGTCTGACTCGAGTCCAAGTCACATGACTCGAGTCCACACCTCTGCTAACCACCACCATCACCACAGGCCGCCATACACAACACGTAACAGCAATCATTGAAGAGGTTACCCGCTGATAATGACGCTCAAACAAGTCGAAACCGTTCGTGGGTTTTGCCTGCCTAAGCGATCGCTGCAAAAAGGGGCAATCAATAGGATTGTGGACTATACTGTTATTTGGAATCAGAATTGGTGGTAAAATAGACCTTACTTTACTTAAAATAATGAAAATTATAAGTATTAATACGTAAAGAAATAACACCAATGTCTCCTTTGCTAAAGTGATAATGGATTTGAATGGGTGACCGTATGGTCAAAGTAATGTATTAGTAATTCTCCTTGAGCTTCTATAAGGTGAGTAATGATGCATTGATTCATCAATTAAATACATTCTGAAGTTCACAATACATGCATTTCATTGCATGTGCGATTCCTGTCTTTTTCTGGAATTCTATCCCAACTTTGCTATCGGAGGCACGTGATGAGACAAATTACACTGGTCAACAAAAACAAATTCTGGCATGGACTTTTGCAGCTGTTTAAGACTAATTTCAGGGTGCCGATTCCAAATCTGATCTCAGATTTGCTCTATCACATCTCATTTTTATGCTATCGACATACCCCATTTTCATTGATTTTACCCGAAATGAACTCTGTCACTTATGATTGCAAGTTGTTGCGAGTCAGTGTCTGCTTTAGTGTTAAAATGTGCTGTACTTTTAGGATAGTGTGTTTATAATATCATTTTATGTAGATATCCACATTTATTTAATATTTTTCTTCTGCAGTTTTGATTGAAAATGTAATATTTGATATCTCAAAAACCTGATGTGATAGACAAAAACTGATGCCAGATTTGGAATCGGCACCCCAAAATTACCTTAAAACCGTTGGAATACCTTATGCCAGAAAAAGTGTGTTGACCAGTGTAATTCTTACGTATCTATCATAGAGCAGTGCAACCCTTGGTGGTAGAGAATGGCTCACGGATGCGGATATCACAGAGTTACCACTGAGATCCCGTCAAAGTGACCTCTGCTCCACATGGCAGGAGGTACGGCTTTTCCACCTGCTCTACCATTGCGAGTAATGTTCACCGCGTGACAGTCAAAGACGGTAATTTTTCATCCGCAGAGCTGGATTTGAGCCAAATTAAGTGCAGAGCCAAATTTAACGTGATGGGGTTTTTTTTGTGCAGTCAGTCAGTGGTGACTTGGGTTGACACCCGGTTTAATCACTGGCAGCTGCCTCGATTTGAACTCATGATGTCAGCAGTGCTAGCTCAGCACTCTAACCCTTGAGTCAGTTGGCCACCTCTAGAATATATATTTTTTATTTAGTTTATTATGATACTTATGTTGTATGTAGTGGGTTCAAATGTCTGCAGGCTTTAGCTTGTCGTCCTTCTCGCGCGCGCCTCCGTTTAGCAAGGTTGGCTACGTACACACAACCACAATCAATCTTGAATCGAATCATGACCATGAATCACGACAGTTCATCGGATCGCGAGGCGGGGAGTGGGCTGGGGGCGGGGATCCGTTACCCTCTAAGGTTTCTACAGCGCACACGGCATTGAATTGGACAATGTGTATGGCACCTTCCCTACATCTACGTCAAGGGGGAAAGAAAACACAAAAAGAACCACAGCTGTGACCTTGGACACTTGAAGTACGAGACCAACGTGAGCTTCCTGTGCTATTTCGCCGTGCTCAAAGCGCTCCCACGCATTGTTCGCAGGTTACATTACGAATATTCGCTCCCCTCCCCACTCCCCGCCTACCGAGGTCCCGGGGATAGGATGATGGAAACCCAGCTAGCGAGAAAACGCGCCTCTCCGTCTCCTGGCGAAGCGGCACTGGGTTATCACAGCTGTCTTCGCAGGGGCGCTATCACAAATTGGTGACGAGTTGCACGCCCCAGGAAGATGAAGGTTTTACAACGCGCCATCTCTTGCATCCTCGTGCGGCACAGGCAGAGCTTCAACAGTTAGGCATGCTGTACCTTGCACGTGTCTATATCCACACGCGGAGTGCATATGTGCGTATGCTGAACTTCTTTCGCGCCGTACGGAGCCAACCGTGCTAATCGGAGGTGCCACGAGACTGATCGTCATGTGGCGAGGCGTAAATTGCTAAGCTCACGATAAGTTCATTAAAATTCGTGTGCAGGAACTGGGAATTTTTTAAAAATACAGCTATACATCGAAAGCTATGGGCGCACGTGACACCGGATGCCACTAGTGGAGGCTATCGTCACCAACTTTCTCCTGAAGCCAGCTCGTGGCTAGCAGACCTCGGCATTGTCATTTAGCTCCTGAACATATCGCCATGTGCAAGAATCAATTTGAGTTTTCACTAAAGTGCAAAAATGTATTGATTTTTAAATCCAAATACAACATCCGAATCACAACAATTAACAATGGCCAGGGTTGTGGATCGTTACACCCCGATCATTCAATTTTACATACATTTATACAAATTGTTACCATATTTTTAGAATGATTAGATGCTCCGGATTATAAGACGAACCACAAACGTTTGCTTTAAATATATTCGAAGGATTTTATTTGACAATGCGGAGAATACGGAAACGTGCTCCAGTTAAAATGGACATTTCGAGATTGACATGTATTTTAAAAGTGCTTCTTCAGACATTCTCATAACCCGCCCTTTGAAACACTACCACTAAACAATGACACATAACCATGCCACTGCGTTTATTAAACGTGATTCATTAACGACAGCTTCAATAAATTCCTCGCTTAATCCAAATTCCCCGACAGGCCCCTCCTCCGACACGCTCGCTCTCTTAACAATGACCGCTCCCCCCGCTCCCATGTAACCTCTGGTTCCTTCCCGTGTGTACCACCACACTGCCCGATGTGTATTGTGTATCATGTGTACCCATGTGTACCAACCACCACACTGCCCGATGTGTATTGTGCATCATGTGTACCCATGTGTACCAACCACAACACTGCCCGATGTGTATTGTGTATCATGTGTACCCATGTGTACCACCACACTTCCCGATGTATTGTGTACCATTGTTGTGGGGGTGGGGGGGGCTGATTGTATCTGCCAGAGAAACGTCTTGAAAATCGCCTTTCTGATAATCGCGTAACAATTTTTTCCATTAATACCAACTATTTTATGGTCATATGTATATACACAGAGACAGTTTTTGTTGTTGTCAATCCACTGCTGGATGAGTGCCTCTGGACACACCGTGCCAAGTCGTGGGAGGGTGGGTGGGGAGGGTGGGAGGTTACCATACATCACCACGCTTGTCAGTTCCAGTTTGCAAAGGCAAGCAAGCGTGGATGTGGGAGCATGCAGGTACAGTGCAACGATGGATTTAGTAGCACTGCCCTCTACTGGTAACGTAACCCCATAGCAACCTCCAATCCCTGTCCTCGCACATCGTGGTCGCCCATCCGGGTGCTATCCAGGCTGAAGCTTAGCTTGCGAGGCCCACAAGATCATGTGCATTCTGGGCGAGTCGGTCAGAATAAGAAAATAGCGTTGCAATGACTATGTCACAATTGCCACGTTACAATGGCCGCGTTATAACGGCCGCGTTACACTGGCCACATTACAACGTCCATGTTACACTGGCTACATTACAACGTCCATGTTACAACGTCCACGTTACAATTGCCACGTTACAATGGCCGCGTTACAACGGCCACGTTACACTCGCCACGTTACAATGTCCACTTTACAATGTCCACGTTACAATTTCCACGTTACAATTTGCATGTTACAAGGACCAAACGGAGTCAGGGAAACCGCAAGGAGAGCCCTTACCATGCACTGCCGTGTGTGTGTGTGTGGGGGGGGGGGGGCGTCCTTACCTTGGTGATGCGGGATTTGGCGTTGAGGAAGAAAAGCTCCACCGTGGCATTGTCCTTCAGGTAGGTGACGCTCTCAATGTAGAACCTGGGAGGGGCAACGCAGCACGTTCACTGTCCGCATCTCGTCTCTGTACGTTGCACAGCGTTTCATGTTAGGCGGTGTCCAATGATCGATCCATCAACCGAACCGGGACCGGGGCCGCCATGCGGCCGATGCGGCCACCGTATGCACAAAATGAACCTTATGGCGGGACACCCCGGGGCCCCGAATAAACGGAAGTCGAAATCGTAATTAAGTAATTTATTTTTGGCGACTGCGTCCCACGGCGCACATAAACACCATGACCCACCCGGCGCGGATCATTCTGTTGTCGTGTTGTCCAAGCACAGCAGCGAGGACGAATGTGCCGGAGAAACCAAAATTTTGCAAATTTCGCTTTGCCTGATGACGACCGCTTGTGTTGCGATCGAAACGTCGCGATTTGTTTTATTTTATTTTATTTCTAACTCCGTGACTTTACCGAAAGAACCAAAGAGTATGTTTGAAAGTTTGATTAACACATCGTGTAGAGCTCATCGAGAGGAATAGATTGCCGTGTCGTTCGCCTTCGACAGACATAAAATGACGTCGCAACGCAGTTTATGCGAGAGCCGGGGGCTTATGGGACCCCCGGGGTCCCGACATAAGGTTCAAATGGCGCATCGAAGATTCGGGGGCACGTGAGTATTGGTTCAAAATCCCAAACCGTCGATCGCCATCGTAAACACTCGGCCGCTGCCGCTGTCTTAACACCTGAACAGACAAATTGAGTGGATAACAAATAAAACATTACATCTTTAACCTGCTGCTCTTAATCCAGACGAAAGAAGAAGACAGTGTTCACCCCCCTCTGTTCACCGCCTAAACACCTTACACCGCTTAGTTCTGCTAACTCCCTCCACCATAGCCTCAGATGTTTTGCTGCATTGCCGCTCCACGTTTCTGGAACACCCCCTTGCAACTTAACTACGGCGTTGGTTCCCTTCCTTCACTCCCCCTCTGTATTTCCCTATTCAACCAAAACACATGAGCACACTTGCAACCCTTGCTCCCACACATGGTCACTGTCTTTTTCAATGTGTGTGTGTATCTATGTCACTGTCAGAGTAATATAAAGAGCTGACTTGCCCCTGTACCGACCTTTATGTGGCACCTCTCGCACCGACATTATATCTGCACCGTTATTTGTTTTGTATTCGCGTGCGATTCGTTGACGACCGCTAAACACTTTGTTCGTGAGTTGTGCAATATTCCTGAAGAACTCTGAACTCGTGCAGATTTCACTTGTAAACTAGCCGGGCAACGAGCTTAAAAGGGATCATCTGTGTAACAAATGAAACGAACGGAAACATTCTGGACAATTCGAGAAGCTCTCTATAAGCTCTGCCAACTGCTGGCTGAGAACCTGAGCTCGAATTTGGCGATATTGCATACGTGTACAGTTCACGTGCGTAAAAGCCTTTCACCCGATATATACATTCTGGCCTGGTGGTGCAGTGGTCGGAGCACGCAGCTCGCAATCGGATGGTCGGGAGTTCAAATCCCAGTCAGGGATCGAACTCAGTCTATCGCCCCTTCCGAGTCAATAAAATGAGCAACGAATTGCGTGAAGTCAACAGTGATCATTGCTGCGGAGAGACTTGGCCCCGACCATAGAAACATGGAGCATCCGTGAGTGGCCAAGGACCTCTAACGGAGATGAGTAACGCACCAATATTACTGCGCGCTTTACCGTGGAGTCAGTGTGATAGTACGTAATCATATTCATCATCAGCGTCATTAGCCATGGGTCAATCCACTGCTGAATGAAGGCCCTCCCAAAAAACCACATCCACCTCTCGTGATCCTCAGAGTTTCCCCCAACGGTAGTGCACGCTGCCGCCTGAAACACATCCATGCTAAACCCATTGTGACCGAGGGGGCTGGCAGTGTTTTTCCGGCGGGCCGTGAATGATAAGTAAATATCTTCTTGGTTCTTTCGGTAAAGTCACGTAAAAGGGAAATAATAAAATATAAAAGAAAAAACATAATAAAATAATAAAAGTAAAACATAATAAAATAATTCTCACGACGTTTCGGCCACAACGCAAGCAGCCGTCCTCAGGTGAAGAACAGGTCTATCTTCAGACGCTGTCTTTCCGACAGACCTGTTCTTCACCTGAGGATGGCTGCTTGCGTTGTGGCCGAAACGTCGTGAGAATAATTTTATCATGTTTCATCTTTATTATTTTATTATTTCCCTTCTACGTGACTTTACCGAAAGAACCAAGAAGATGAATCCCTGCAGTCACGAAAGCTTTAAATCGAAAGATAAATAAATAATCATTGCCACTAAATCCCGGAGAGTCGTGCCTGGGCTCAACAACCTTAGGGAGGTGGGGGGGAGGGGGGCACTCTGCCTGGGCTCGCGATTGATTCCCGGTGAAGGGCTGACGTGAGCAGCGGGTGATATCTGAAGCGGTTGTGCGGTCTGGCCCCTTTCACCGATCCGTACTGACCCGGCACAGAGGAGTATGGCCAAACAACCCTCGTGAGCAACTTGGCAGAGAGAAAAAAAATCGGAATCGGAATGTATACTGGAGAAATCCAGTTAGCCATGAAACTCTTTTTTCCGCAGATGTCCAGTCGGGGCGGGTCAGAACGTATTCGCTCCACCGCCCCACTTTTACGTGCATTTGCTGGATAAATAAATGAGTCACGAAATTTAAACGTGCTTGTGTGTGCGCGCAACTGAACTGAATGCTGCTGCGTGCAGACGCAGATCAAATTGGGGCTTTTGAGATTTGAGGCTCAGCCTGGTACTCTTCTGGCTGGCTCGTTCGCTTGCCTTGGGCCCATTGTGTCGCGGTGCTTTCGGGTTCAGCGCATTAATAAAACCGCTGCCAATAGAGGGCACCCCGAACTCAGACTTCAGTTGCTGCTCCCACGAGGGATACATTCACGAATCCATCAGCTCTTGCTACAACCAGGGCCAGATTGGTTCAGGGCTGTTACAGTATTGGGTCTTGCTCTTTGTATGTTCTTTGGCTGCGGTTTGCCGTTTAACCACCACGCATGTCCAATGCCAAACACTCAATTCTTTTTGACTTTGGTTATTTCCGTACTAGTTTTTAAATAAGATCTACAAATTGTAACATTCAAAAAAACCTAAACCTTCGAGGTTAACTGCCCAAGGAAGAAACATTAATGAACAAACTCAATAAATACATTATAAACAGACAGAAAAATGAATCGACCTCATTTACACCGATGTGTAACTTAGGCTGTGATAGATTTATAGATGCCCCACTGATTTCTAATGCCCCTCCTACTTTTTTCTATCAACAAGAGATTGAGTATTGTGGTATCGATGGCTCGAGATCTCCCAGAGTGGCGAGTGTTAATAGATAGTGTGAGTGCATTGAGATTGATGGGGAGAGGTTTCGATAGTTTTTAAATCTCTAATTTCTCCATAATGTCTCCCGTGTTGAACATGTACTCCCAGTTTTTGGATTAATACAAAAAAAATCCACAAATCAGGCCCCAATACGACATTGTAGATGATCCAAACATTGTTTATTTTTCGGATTGATCAGCAGACTGGAAGTAACATCACTAATATTACAACACTCTCACTTTTCCTGCCAAAACTAGTGCCACGTGGCATCAAGTAATGTCACTATTGCTAGCAGGAAGACATTTGACGTTAGTACATGATTGAAACAACGATCAAAAAACACCCAAACATGAACAAAGATCTGAAATTGTCCTTTAAAAAAAAAACTGCTTGTTTTTCATTCGAACTCGTCCCGACTCCCCATTATTTTCGTGGGGGTATCGATAAAATTTCACCGCGCTATCCTTTCACATCACCACGCGGAACGCGTTAGATGAGGGTGAGGTGGTCGTACCTAACGGCGAAGTGCAGCGTGATGGCTCCGGATTTCCGCGGAAAGTCATGCTCCAAAACCCGCCTGTCCAGCTGGAGCCAGCTGTTGTGTTCCCTGCAGCGACACACGAGATTTACAAAACGGCGCGGGAGAGAGAAAGTTGGTTAGCGAGGCCTGCTTAAGTGCACTTCCCAAAGCTGTCCCAGCTCTCAACGAGAAAAGGTCTTTTGGGGATCGTGACGGCAAACCGGGTGGTTTTTTTTAGAGTTCCTTGGTGGCTAATATTCTGCCACGTGCACTCCATAGTGATTCCGTTGAAATATTTGAAATAGATTGAGATTAAACGCTTAAACAAAGAGTAATTTCAACTAAATGAAACTATTTTTTTTTTTACCAGGTAAGACCCCGACTGAGCAACACAGCTCTTTTTCGAATGATAGGTCAACGAAGTGGCAAACCATGTGGAAATGTATATCAGCCAAATAACTCGAAACCGCACGTTGTTTCTAAATGTGGAGGGAAAAACCACGCGACACGGGGAGAGAGACACGCAAACTCCATATATACAGGCGTCAGGGTTGGGATCGAACCCACGACCTTCTGTATAACATCTCGGCACCGTGGCGCTCCTGACAACAGGCATACGATCACTTGCAATAAAATAACAATTCAAGTCTATTATTAACATATTGTTTTTAATAATATTAGTTCAAATCAATGAAAGGGAATAAAACTCGAGTAAAAGAACAAAGAATGACGACTGCGCACTTATTATTTACGTTATCACAATTTTCTGCTCACACTCATCAGCAAAGGCCGCTATGGACCTGTGAGGAAGCCTGCAATGGTTTTGGATGTCAGCAGCTATGAAACCCGTGGAAAATTCCAGCCTTGCTGGGTGAAAATTCACCAACAATAACCTCCCCCCCCACTCCCCTCCCCAGAAGCCATAATCACACTGCTCAGACCAGGACCACCGCCACTCAGCCTCCCTCTACTACTCCCATCCACGGGCTCCGTGATCCGCTGTAAAAGTGCATTCGTGCGTGAAACAGATCTCAGAGGGCTTCTCCTGCATGATTCACCGTGTCTGCTTAGCTGTTTAATTACGAGCGCCGCAAAAAAGTAATGGGAATTTAATTCACATTTCAGCGCCTAACAAGGAAATTGTTCAACAAGGTTTTATCATTCTAATAAAGGACCGCTTTTTTTTTCTCTCGCGTCTAAAGACTCTCCCAGAAAGTGTTCAGGCACGGCTTCGGGGAACGGCGCAACGGTGATAAACATTGCAAGGAACAATTTGAAGGGACGTTTTCCAACTTCATTACGATGATCACATGTATGAACACTCAACAATTGGCTGAAAACATCTTAATGTTTAGAGGACCGCAAAGCTTGGGAAATTATTGGCACTGCTTCGCCACCTGGTAGCCTTCCAGCTTGCCTGTGTTTTTTCAGCTGTTATAAGATGCTATATAAAACATTATTATTATTGTAAGCCTCGGTTATATTCAAGTCAAATGACCTACTGCTTCAACAAATGCTTCATCTGTACACATGCGAAAATCAGAGTCGTTTCCCACTCATTTGAGCAGTGGGAGGTGCTCATCTTCTGTTTACAGCTCTGACTGAGCCAGTGGTAGAATTACGCTGATGAATGTGTCAATAGAACTGCTCTAGACTTTGCAACAAAACGGTTCTCATTTTATTAACCCTCAAGGGATGAAAGGTTCGGTTGAACCCCACCAAAATGTTAACGTGTGACCTTGCAATTGAGCCCATTGCCCCCACCAGGTCTGTTATAAGTAATGGGTTTCGAATATTTTTTGAATCTGAATATTTATTTATAGTGGAGGAATCCGATGAACTATAAAGCTCTTTTTCACAGATGTCCAGTAGACACGTGCACTTCCGTTTAAAGATGACGAGCACAGAAGATCAACACTCCAAATTGTTTTACATTCATTGTCACCGTTTCTATGAGCCCACAATTTCCACAGCCCTGAATGTCACAACATATTCACGCATGCTTTTTTAAACATGGTGGTCCCGGTTGTGTGTTTCTTTTGTCAATGTACACATCACCTCCCTGGCTTGCTGTGTTGCTGTTTGCAAGAGTCCATGACAGTATTGCACTGTGCTGTATTTGAAGAGTATTAATCCCCTTCTTGGTTCTTTTGGTAAAGTCACGTAGAATGGAAATAATAAAATAATAAAATAAAACATAATAAAATAATTCTCACGACATCTGAATGACACTGTCTCCCCGACAGACCTAGTCTTCCCCTGAGGACGGCTGCTTGCGTTGTGGCTGAAACGTTGTGAGAATTATTTTATAATGTTTAATTTTATTATTTTATTATTTCCATTTTACGTGACTTTACCGAAAGAACCAAGAAGATGAATCCCTGCAGTCACAACAGCTTTAAATCGAGTATTAATCCCGTAACGGCAGCCTGATTTTTGATTCCCGGCCACGGCTAACATCGGTGACGAGTGATACCAGAACAGGTCCTGCCCTTTACCCCCCTCCCCCACCCGCTTCTTCATCTGCTTGCTCTGACCAGCGTGGTGAAGTATGGCCAATAAAACCTCCCACGACTGACACGGCATGATGGTGTCAGGAAGCCTTCATCCAGCAGCCGACTAAGACCGGAGGTAAAGAAAAAATGCCTTGTTGGACTTCAAAATAAAGTCTTCTCTATTAGACATAATTTTGGAAGGATTGTATTTTCCAAATATGCACAGCTTACGAGAAGGGAATATGTGGTTAGTGGTTGATTGCTGCATCGGTTAATATTTGCGTGATGTGACGACGTGTACCAAAATAAGCTTATTACAAGGAACCTTGTTAGCCCTTGATAGATATGCAACACACTATTACTTTGTATTACAACTCCAAATGTAATTACTTAATTAATTAAATACGCGGCGTCGCTAATTCACGATTCATTTCAAAGAAGAACAAGGCCTCAAAAACAGCAGCAACATATGCTCACCACTGGCACTGGCACGGCCGTGAGCGTAGATTTGTACCGCCCCGTACGCAAAAGCACTCGAGTGGATGCCCCACTTACGCCTGCTGCCAAGTAAGCTCACAGAGATCGGCTTCGCTGTGCACATTCGCCTCCATACCGGGGAAGCACTCGCACGCACAACCCGCATGAGGACGCCCACAATGTTTGCAAAACTCGGACGCGTGTTTGGCAACCTTGAGAGCAATAGCGCGTTTTTTTTAACTACGCGCTAACACACGTAAGACGGCCGTGTTGTTGGAACACCTCGTTTGAAAACGATTGCCACTGCATGCCCGAGCTGAAGTTAAGTTATCTTTGCACCAGAAAATCCCTCCCACCTCTCCTACCCCATTCTACTTACACACAAAGATCTCCCGTATCGCCTTAACAGACTGAAGGAGTAAGTGCTGTTAGCGAGCACCTATCAACTAAACCATTTTATTTTATTAGGTAAGGCCCACTGAGCTATATAGCTCTTTTGTTGATGCGACCTGGCCAGAAATGATAACTTAACAAAGTGGCTATTCACGTGAAAACGTATATCAGCCAAATTACTCTAAACACGTTTCTATATGTGGAAGGAAAACTGGAGGACCTGGAGAAAAATTCCACACGACCACGGGGAGAACATGCAAACTCCAAATGGACAAGCATCTGGGTCGGGATCGAACCCACAACCTTCTAGAAACCAGGAGAGGTGATTAACATCTCGCCACCGTGCCGCTCTATGAAGGCTGGCACAGGAAATCAAACCCTTGTCGCCAGATTCGTAGTGCGGCGCGCTAACTAGCACACTACTGCTTCCTACATACAGACACAAATAGACACGTCAATGTACAATGTCACACATACTGAACATAATACATAGACACACAAGTACAGATAAAGATCTTCCTCATAGCCCTAACAGACTGTTGGGGCAAGTGCGGTTTGTGAGCAGCTGTGAAGAACTTGCAGACAGACACACAACGACATTCCACAACCTTCGCTCGTATCAGATGGGGAAAATTGGAGGATTAAATTTAAACAACCAAATAAGATGGCAATCGATGATGGTAAAATCAATTCTAGATTTGAAGTTTTCGTGACTGCAAGGATCCATACTTTTTGGTTCTTTCAGTAAAGTCATGTAGGTGAAAATAATAATGAAATAAAATAAAAAATAAAAAGTGAAACAACTAAATAAAATCGTGGTAAAATCGTGCACATTGTTGGGATTAAAACGACAACGCAAAAATAAACGGTCCTCCTTTGCTTCGTAAAACAATGTAACGCTATTGTTTTTTTACGGGGTCGCATGGCCTCTGGAGTTTTTGCGGCTCGTCGCTCTATTATTCCAGCTCTCCGTGTGTTTTCCGGTGTCCGCGGCGCGTGTTTGTAGCGCGTGTTTGTCTCGGCACGATGTCGGAAGCTTTCCCGGAGCAAAACTCTCGCACCACCACCACCACACCGAACACCACTGGGCAGAAGAAGCCAAATACACAGACATCAGAGAGCTAAACGTCTCCCGTTCGGGCACTCCACCCCCGAAACGCGGCCATGCACGCAGGTGCTGTTCCACCTTCAAACCTTTCGTCTCGAGCCGAGAGAGCGACGGTGTTTATTTGTCCGATTCCAACAAAAACAGAGACAACAAAGGGGCTTTCGACCACACTTTGCAGGAGAAGTTGAGCTTCCTGGTTCGGTGCGTTTCTCTTCACCTCCCTGGCATGCTCATCCCAAGGCATTTGGATCCCCAGCAACAAGAACCCCCCCCCCCCCCCCCCCACGTGTCATTGCGCGAATTTTGACAACAGCGCGTCCGCGAGGGTCTCCTGAGAACACCGGCGCCAGCAGTGGAGCGTGATTGCGACGTGTTTTTGCTTCAGCAATTAGCGAGCTTGGATCCTGCAGTCCGACAGCATTTTTTTTTCCAAAGAGCCGGCTGCTTGTTTTAAATTCCGCGTATGCAACAGTAAGACAAAAGAAGGCTAAAAGCGTCTGAACACGTGGATGTTTGGTGGGAAGAAACAGGGTTTCCCAGTCTGGCTACAGGACATTTGTGTCCAAATGAATGGGAGGACCGGTGGCACAGTGGTTAGCGCGCTATAATATGAA